GGTTCAAACTATGTAGTCAACCACGTGGGATCCAGTTCACTTAACCATCAGGACAGGAAGGCACCCAAGAGTAAGCCCATTTTTTTATTTTTTGGAGAGGTTTTTCCTATAGGGCATGTGCACTCGCCAGAAAGACAGAGTGATAGCGAGAAATCACCCCCCAGGGGGGATGGCCACTCCGCAATCCCTTCTCCTCCATTCTCTTCTCGGGATCTTGGGCACGCACACACACGCGCCCGGCATGAATTTAAGCCACCCGATCCGGGACTCGAACCGTGGTCAACTGCGTGCATAGCCACTACGCTAATGGCTGGTCCCGGGTAAGCCAATTTGAAAGTGGATCCTCCAGGCCTAAGCTTAAACCCCCCTGCTGGCGATGCATGGAATAGATGAGCTGTCCCCATTAAGTCTTGTCCAAATTGCAAGTTCATGAGTAAAATAAAGGATTGCTGGGGCCAGTTCCATAGTCTAGTGGTTAAAGCAGCTGGATCCCACATGACCAACCATGGGGTTTGAATCCCACACCTAGCAGCCAGGTATGTGTGGACCCAAAGTCCTGAGGAGAGAGATGAAGGAGAAGGGATTACAGTGTGACCATTCTCCATGGGGGGCACATTCCCCTCTGTGTCTCTCTGTGAAGCACGCAAGCCCAAGAAAAAGATTGTGAGTGAGTGATTGGGGCGGGGAGGGAGGAGAGAGTGATTGCTTGATTGATGGTTGGGCTGGCCCTGTAGTGCAGTGGTTAAAGTGCTAAGCATGTAGAACCAAAACCCATGTTGTCGACTATGGTTTGAGTCCCAAATCTGGTGGCTTGAAAAACATGCCGGATTGGGAGGACTGGAAGGTGGCATGGTGATTAAGGGTACTGGATTCCCACGTGGCTGACTGTGGTTTGAGTCCTGGACCTGCTGGCTTGCTTTCTTGCTTTTTTTTTTTTCCTCTCTCTCTCTGGTCAACTTAAAATAAAAATATAAAAATAAAGTTAAATAATTCTTTAGAAAAAAAAAAAAACCATGCCACACACATATAAGATTTGCATGCCCATGGTCCTGATGGGATGCAGAAATGAGAGAAAGGGGGATTGTGGTATGACCATGCCCCAGTAGTGGGTGCACATACCCTCTGGCAATAAGGAAGAAATAATGAGAGAAGGCCTTCTGCGCCACCCTTTGTCTGCTCGGGCCCCCTCCTACCTCTCAGGAGTGTACTTTCGCTTTTACTTAGTAAACTACCTTTCCCTTTCACTATTGGCGTGTTTCGTTCAATTCTTTGTCCAAAACACCAAGAACCTAGATATCATCGCAGAAGCCAGTCCCCAAAACAAGGAAGGATGACAGAGGTGACATCTGAGCAGTCAAAAAGATTTGTATAACCAAATGAACTCTCTTCCCTGTCCCTACTTCCTTCTCCCAGAGGTGAGGCACTAAGCAAAGATAAGGAAGTGTGAGAAGAGGCCCTTTATTGGAAGAGAACTGTATGAAGGAAGACAGAGGGTGATGATTAAATTACACACAAACCATTTCCTGATAGACTGATGTCTGCCAGTTAAAAGACTGGAATATTGGAGCTTTATCAAATCGCCTTTTTATTTTTTTAAAGAATTATTTCATTACATTTATCATCATCATCATCATTATTATTTGACCAGACAGAGACAGAGAGAGAGAAAGTGAGAAAGCAAACCGCCAGGTTCAGGACACGAACCACAGTTCGCCATGTGGGAGTCCAGCACCGTAACCATCATGCCACCTGCTGGCCCCTTGAATCACCTTTTTTATTTTATTTTATTTTTTTTGAGAGGTTTTTGCTATAGGGCGCATGTGCTCGCCAGAAAGACAGAAAGCAAGAAATCACCCCCCAGGGAGGATGGCCACACCACAATCCCTTCTCCTCTTGGGGTCTTGGGCACACACGCAGTTTAAGCCACCGGGTCTGGGACTCAAACCGTGGTCGGCTACATGGGAGTTCAATGACATAGCCATTACGCTAATTGCTGGTCCCTTGAATCACCTTTTTCAAGTCTATATTTCTATTTGTGAGCTGTGTGCATTGAGTAAAATATATATCTTTAAAAAATGAGTAAAAATAATTAAGGATTGTGGTTATAAGCCACTAAGTTTTCAGGTGAACTATTACACGGCACTAAGTTATCAACTCAAGGAACAACCTATGTGAAATGACCTCCAAGTGCTTTAACCCTCCTGTGGACAGGAGTGGTAGCTTATATTTCTTTTAGGACGTCGGAGCTTCTAACAGTGTAGGTCTAAAATGCCACTGAATACATGCTTCCTGGGTTATTAATTCAAACTTAAACTGATCTAATTTACACTAGTACCATCTGCTGGTCCCAAATCTTTAAACAAAAAAGTATATAGTTATAGCTATTGCTCAAAAGGAAAGTGACATAATTTTAGATAACACGTTAAAATGCTGGGCTTCTAAATACAGATACTAGTGTAAGAATGAATGGAAAGTGGTCATTCTCCCTGCGGGGTGACTTTTCACTTTCAGTCTCTTTGTCTCTCCAGTGAGTGCATGTACCCTTTGGTAAAAATCTCTCTCAAAAAAAAAATAAATAAATAAGATTCTATTTTATTATTATTGTTATTTTTTAATTTGCTATAGGGCACATGTGCTCACCAGAGAGGGAGAAAGTGAGAAAGCAAGCTGCCAGGTCTGGGACTTGAACCACACTTGGCCATGTGGGAGTCCAGTACCTTAACCACCACGCCACCTCCAGCCCCACTATATATGTTTAAGCTCTACATGATGTAAATTAACAGACATAATATATCATTTTTATTGCTGGATGGCATGGGCACTCACCAGAGAGGGAGAAAAGCAAGGAAGGAGAGGGAGAAAGCACCCCCCCCCCAGTGGGGTGCGGTCATACTGTAATCCCTTCTCCATTTCTCCATGCTGCTGGGATTTACGGAATTGCATGCACATGCTCCCTGGTGTGTTTTTCAAGCCACTGGGGCCAGGATTCAAACTATGGTCAGCTGTGTGGGATCTGGCTCCCTTAATCACTAGGCCATGGTTCTGGCTCAAATATTACTTTTAAAAGGTATAGTACTCTTGTTTACAAATCAGAATATAAAGTATTAATAATACTTCAATGTATATTAAGTTACTATTCAACAATTTTTTAGAGTGTCTGATCCTTATGTGTATCTTTTTTTGGCATGTTACTGAAGTGGTTTTTTTAAAAATAATTTTTAAATGACACATAATTATATATATTTATGGAGTACAAGGTGATTCTTTTTCAGTACATGAGTACAATGTGTAATGATCAAATCATGGTAATTAGCATATCTGTCATCTCGAATATTTATTACTTTCTGTTGGGAACGTTCACAATCCTCTCTTTTTAGCTATTTTGAAATATACAATAAGTTGTTAATTATAATTACCCTACTATGCTATGGGACATTAGAACTTCTTCCTCTTATCTAACTGTAATTAACAATTGCAGTTTTTATTAGAAAAAGTAGAACACATTGGGAAAATAATCACCAGGTTTTGTCACTGAAGAATTTTCACAACAGATATTAAAGGTATTACGTAAAAGACAGATGGCGAATAAAGCAGCCATGCATTCTTGAAGTAGCTCACCTTGGGTTATGTGTTGATTACTAATGGGAAAAGGTGCCTTTACAATGGGCAAAAGCTGGTAGAAAACGATTTAATCATGCAATCAAACTTAATATACCCTGGTGCCAACAGGTAGTATAGTGCTTAAGGCACTAGACTCCCGCATGGTCAACTACAGTTCAAGTCCCGGACCTGGTGGCTTGAAAATCATTCTGGGTGCCTGTGCGTGCGTGCCCAAAATCCCAGGAGGAGGATAGAGGGAAAGGGACCCATTCCCTCTGGGGGGTGATTTCTCACTTTCCCTCTCTCTGTCTTTGTCTTGACAAGTGCATGCATCCTCCTGGCAAAAACTTAAAATAAAAAAACTGTAATATCCCCAATGATTAAACAAAGTGACATCATGTGCCTCCCAGTGTGCTACTGTAAAGACATCACTTGTATAGTAGCTGTGTTACCAATAAAAAGCTTAAACCTAAATCTAATGAGAAAACAGACAAATGCAAATGAAGGATATTATGAAAAAAAAAACACTGGCTTTAACTCTTTTGTCAGAAGACCAAAAAACAAACAAACAAACAAAAACACCCTAGGGGACTTCTTGATTAAAGGAGATTAATTTAACAGGTTAACAATGGGACTCTTGATGGATACTGGATCTCCCGCCTCCAACAAGAAAGGACAAAAACAGCCACAAAGCTATAAAATTTAAATATGCATTGCATAGTAGATAATTGGGCTGTACTAAATGTTAATTATCTAAGTGGATTATTGTACTGTGGTTAAGTAGGAGAATGTCCTTGTTCTTAAAAGACGGATGTTAAAACATTTAGGGGTGAAATGTCACTATGTCTGCAAGTTAGCACTCCGGCAAATTAATTGTGTTAAGGACTAAAAGTCTGTACCTGGTTGAGGGATTTTCTATCACTCTCTAGTCAGGACTGTTTGCAGACGATGTTTCTCTTGGCACAGCCGAGGATGAGCAGGCGAGCCAGGCCCACCTCCCCTGGTGGCACCTGGTGTCCTCGGCGCTTTAAGGCAAGCCTGGCACCGCACGTGAAGGCGAGGCTGTGGTTTCCACGTCTACGAGGCGCATGCGCGGCTCACGCAGGCGCACTCTATGCATTAGACGGCGCAGGCGCGAGGGCGTGGCCACGCCCTCACTGCCCCGCCCTCACAGGTGCCCAGTGCCAACCCACGCGGTTTACGGCAAATATGCGAAGCCACGCCCCTCCGCGCTAATGACGCATGTTGTTCGACGCACTGTATGGCAGGCTTGCTTTTCCCCTTC